CCTCTTCGGTAACGCTCTGCGGGATACTGCACTCGTTTTTTTTTTTTAAGGTAAGTTTTAGAAACCAGTGTACGCAATTATGCAGTAACTGACTGACACACGAGTTCCCATTCTCGTTAAAATGTCAGTTCTATTTTGAGTAATGTTTGTCGCACGACAGCGACTCACTCGTTTAGAACGAACGGGACTACATTCAGCTGGCGTGTGTGTCCTGGGGTGTACATGTAACTAGTGCCATAAGCGTCTTAGCACGATTCCTAAATTTAAACTGTAGTTCAGCATAAATATATCGACTAGAAGGCGTTATAATTTATTTAAAAAAATACACTCGTTATTAGTAATTGATTATGTACGTCAAAGCAGTGAACGAATTCGTAATGTGTTTCCAATATTTCCGCTGTATGAAAGGGGTATTACTAAGAAATAAACTTGAAGTAATAGTGTACATTCAACAGTTTGATATGGTGCTTGTAGGTGTGGTCTTAGACAAAATAAAGGTATGATTATTTAATATGTTGTGTGGGTAGGTAGAGGTTGTCGAACCATCACGTAATCACCTGTGTCGTGTTAGTTAATAATCATTCGTGACAAAAGCAAGAATACAATTGTCAATATTACGCAATACATTTGTAATTTGACCTCGGTGTGTTTTCCTGTCAACCAACACTAATGAGGAAATCATTATTATGTAATATTGAATTTCCCGTTTCGTTCAATTTAAATTATGTTTTGGATAGCTACACTTCCTACAGGTGTTTATTACATTTTTACATTTTTTTGGTGTGGTTACTATAAATACAAGAATCAATCTGTTGTGACAATGTGTTTTTTGTTTTTGAATAAGTATTGTTCATAACAGTAAAAGTAGTGTCACTTATGATTTTTTGTTTAAAACAGATGTTGTTACCCTGCCCGTTCCTCCAAGTAGTTTGATTTAGTCAGGTTTTAATATCATTAAAAAAAACAAACACATAATTAGTGTCTAAAATAGTCTTGTATAAACACTATAATAGGAATTTTTATGTTGCTGTATGTTTAAAACATCTCACGAAGTAAATACTTATTTATAATTCTAGTCTAATATTATGTAATCGCCATTCGTTGAATACTTTGTATTAAAATTAGTTGGGATACAATAGTCACAGATGTAGACATGCATATGTGTGCCATATGGTATTCAGGACTTACCAACACTGGTATTTATTACTTATTTATTTTCCTATTGTTGAATCATCCATTGTTGTTCAATTCGTTTTTTTCTGTTGAGAGATGCAAATTTAGATCTCTAGGATATCTTGCACTGTTTTATTACTCAAAAGTTTAGCTTTGAGATCATTTCGTTAATATCTCAGACACTAATGTTATTTTAATACTAGTATGAAATTGATGTCCAAGAATAAACAAAGTGTTAATGAAGTATGTATTGAACTTTTGAGTTGCGAGGATACACATTTACAAGGCAAAAATTAATTAATATAATTATCTTAGCGTGCTGTTTTTTAATTTTGCTATTTTCACAGATAAGTAAAGTAACAATAGAACTTTGTTTCTTCACCAAATTCATGAACTTAAAACCCAACGAAATGTCTCAAAACATCAAAAGAGTGAAATTAAATGCCAGTGAAAATAAATCAT